CCCCGCGCAAAACGACCTCAGGGGGGGGGGGGGGGTTTATTAAAGGGACCCTAACATTAAGCAATGGTTCTAAAACACATACCACATCATCCAGTGTACTTTACAATCAAACTGACATAAACACGAATTGCTAAACAGTGTCGCGGCGTCGCGGGTGGGTTTGGACCGGTTAGTTTTTATCAACTAAGTAGCAGACTAACCAACGAACGCGCAAAGAACAACAAATTATGATGGTAAGATATGATAAGGGCCAAGTCAGTACATTAATAGCAGGTGTTGGTGGTGGCGGTGGTTATCCTGCTCGTTACGAGTTCCACTAATCGATTTCACTGACCGTTTTGAAACAAACCCAGCTATTGATTGTGGCGCTCCTACCTTCATTGATATTGATAGGGGTTTAACATTAAATCGTGAAACAGTTAATGCAGCACCAACTAACGGCTTCTTGCTTGGCAATCCAGACGAGGAGGAGACAATACTATAAGTGTATTTCAACATGCTGCAATCTGATAACTGTACAAGGTACTGAGAGTACTGCAAACACTACATGTGATGACAGGCGGACTATATCGCTTGCAGACCAGTGCCCACGTCTTCAACATGCTGCAGAAGGGCTGGTGCGAGGGCAGGGGCTGAAGGCCAAACAAACCCCAAAATAGGTCACAAGTCGGACCTCACTGCCGGAATCGTCCGAGGAAGAATCATCATCCTCGCAGGCTTCCTGAAGGCCACTTAAGCTGCAACCGAAGCTCGACAATCGGTGCCATTTTTGAATCGATCGCATGGCAAGAACACGAAATCATCTGCACCGGCGCTGGAATCCGGCCTCCCGTGCAGACAGTTGTCTTACCTGCGCCTGAGAAGCAAAGATTACGAACAGAGTCGTGGTCATAATGACTCTCGCTTGGTCTTCCTACAATATTGTTGACAGTACATCTCGCAATATGATGACGACGGGCACGACACGACACGACTGCGACGACAAGCAATTTCCACTGTCAATGTCAGTGCTGCAACACTGAAGGCGCTGCGTCCTGCGTTGCGATCTCGTCTTACTCCTACTCACACTCGAACTCCTTTGCGAATCATAGCGATCGTGGCTCACTGCTACTGCGGCTACAACTACCACCACCCCACCACCACCATCACCACCATCACTGCCTCCTACCTACGTCCTGCCTCCTACCACCACATTCACCTACTGCCCGTGGGATGATCCACGAATCTCTGCTTCGTAGCGGCTCGGCCGATTGCATGAAACTTCACCAAACACCTTAAGCGGTCACACTAGAAGATGAAACCCGCTCCACCTGAAGCCAGGGAAGACCGCACGATTGTGGCTGCAGACCAAGCTATGGTATCGTATCCAAGTTAGTTATTTACACGAATGCAGCAGAGACACCTGCTCATGGTGGTCTGGCGTGAAGTCCTCATCCTGTATCGAGCGCATTTGGTGTTGAATTTTCTATCTCGAGCTACTGTTCTACCTCCAACTCTTTGACTCATCCTCTGTCCAGCTGAAACTGCTCACCACCACCACCACCACCACCGCCGCTGCCGCCCGCGCATACATGTACCATTGTATCGCGCTCCTGCCCAACTCCGCTGCCAGTCGGGATGAGCCGATGCAGGTAGGACCTTCCAATAAGCAGTCAAGTAGACAGGAGGGCATGAACTTTTGCCCCTCTGAAATGGGGTCTCAGTAGATCGATCTTACACTGAAGATGTTCACCTGAGCACAGGCGAGACAGCATCAAACCGAGCGCATCTCCAGTCAAAATCGCTTTGAAATAGGCGCTCCGACCCTCCACAAAGTGCATTTACAACCTCTGAACTTGCGGGCAGTACTGCTCATCGAACAGCAGCGTAGCGTTGGCAGCTCAAATGTGTCTCTGCACACTTCAAAGGCCAGCTCCGTCGTGTGAAGCCCACCATCTCAAAATTGAAGCCGCCTGGCACTGAGACCTTCCGGGCCCTGCAGAGCTGCCGGTGGAGGTCGCTGCAGCGGGTAGCCTCCAAGGATCGAAGCGAGAGCTGCAGAGCTAGGAAAACCGCCCCCCGGGCCGAGGAGGTCTCTGCTTGGCCCCGGACCGCAGTTGCCTTTGCCAGGCCCACCGGCAAAGATCGGCCTCAGCGGTAGTTCTCATACACAACTTTATCTACCTGTGCTGTCCAAATGTCAGCCCAGCATAGCCCAGCTCAAGGCCTGAGCTGCTCACTTGTAGCTCCGTGGCGACACCGTACGGAAGCCATGCTCTGAACAGGGATGGTCGGCAGGAAGGAACCACCTGAGCAGCGCAAACGCTGGACTGCGTTTTTTTGGCTAGCTAGTTCTGCGATATCAGCCTGACATATCTCGCTGCCGAGAACTGCGCGAGAAGGGAAGCGCAGTGCTGCAAAGAGGACACCTCGGTGTGTGAATTGCAACCAAGGACTGGCTCTACAGATTGCAATGCAAGAAACATGTGGAGGAATCGCTCACTGGGTGCTGGGCTCAGGCGTGTCAATTCTGTTGATGCACACCCTCACAGCAGAATCAGACGGGGGAGCGCTTTTCACAGAGAGTCGCCGCGCCTGTGGAAGTGATGCTTGCCTTGGAAACACAATGCAAATGAACAAGATAGGCAGCAAGACCGTCTAGGCCGCCGGCAAGGTGTGCAAACAACGGCCTCCATCATCAGTGGCTCCGAGCACAGGGAACAGTACCTGCACCGTGCACAAGCAACAGGACATTTCAAGAACGATGTCCAATGATGCGGGCATGCTCTTGCGACTGGCTTGGACGTCGTGACGGAAACACCACTCGGCTGAAGCTAGGTTGGTATGAAAACCAGGGTGTTTCAGAAATTTGTGCTCTGCAAACACGCACATACTGAGATCAGTAATCTGTCCTCAAATGAAACATCAGCCTTTGAAACCAAAAAGGAAGATACCGGAATCATGTAGGAGCCATGCAGAGGCACATGCTGTCGTCAACAGCCAGAGGATCGCCTGTCCAAGCGAGCTGCAGCCACTGCCTGACTTCGGTATGGGTATCTGGTACAAGTAGGCGGTGAACAGAAGTAGTGCGTGAGCAAAAAGCATTTGGACTTTGGCTGTGTGACTGTTCGATAGCTAACAGAAGCTGGTGTCCTCCCTTTCTGCCTCACCCTCTCCTTCCCCTCTCGCTCTCGCGCTCTGTCTATTCTATCCTATTCTCCGGGGCGTAAGGTGCTGGTCAGGCACCCCGCGCCGCGAGGCGCACCCCTGTTGTGGGGCTTTGTAGGGGTAGAAGAAGCTACGTCTCTCTCGCTCTCCCTCTCTCTCGCCCTCCCCACCCCCATCTGCATCCTTGCAGCGCCAGTCAGGGCGTGCCGACTGCAACAAAGCACGTAGGCGTTGTTCCGACGTTCCCGCCATCGTTTTGGACAAAGAGCAACTTGTGGCCCATGAAGATTATCGAAACGGCGATGGTAGCAACTAGCAGTCAGCATGCAACAGTCGACTATGCCGACTATGCCGATGATGTTTGCCAGCAGCTGCAAAAGACCGAAGCATGGAATCTTGAATCTTGATGCTTTTCTGCGATGCAATGCACATATATGAACGACACCATTAAGCCGAGCCTGCAGAAATAAGCGACGTGCAAAGCTCAATTCCCAGGCATGCACACTTCTCAATTACGCCTCCGTTCAGCATCCGAACACTTTGCATAGCAGCAGAAAGTTCCACCAACAGCCCTAAGCAGGATCAGCCACACGCGGTTTCTGGCTTTGTCCGTGCCGTCGCTAGTCACTGAGCAAAGCAATCAACATCCAAGGATTCTTGGGCCAGGCTTTGAAATGGAGAAGCATATAACGTTACACTGTCTCTTAACACTGTTCAATGATGTTGACGAATGCATACTACTTTGGGCCCATGCATTATGGACATGCTAGCGGATGTCCTGGATGCAAACACAACCTGACTGACGCGTTTGGGAACGCTTCGAGGGTCATAGCGACAAGTATTTTAGCCAGGTGCACTTGGCAGGGCTAGATTCATGCATTTTCGGTCGCCTCCTCATGGCGTCCGCTCCAGTTTTGAGCTTATACAATTGTGGTGCTGTTGTGCTTGGGCTATCGCACCCGCGCACTCAAGATCAAAAACCTACTGGTAAACTATTGGCGGCACGATGAATTGAAGGGTGAGTTAGCCTGGACGGGCAGAATCCATTTGATCTTTCCGTGCGAAACATGCCCACCTTGGGATCTGGAGGATTCCTCCACATCCCAAGCGGGCATGTTTCGCACCCATGATAGCTATGAACATCCACACGCAAGGCAAGGACGAGAGAGCTTCTCAGGTGTGTTGTCAACTCCTTCGGCCCAATAGGATGCCGGTCTTGAGCGGGTAGCGCCAATCCAGTTCGACGTAGATGGGGCATTCATTCAGGGGAAATGGATCACTGTCCAGATAGCAAATAGTCCAGGCTAAAAGCGCCACCCGTACAAATTTACCGAAGGTGTAAGGGAGACGGCTGACAAAGAAACTGATGTTAAGCAGAATCACGTCGCCGCCGTGGCTGGAGAGGCTTACGTATGAGACCGGAGGCGGGAACGAGGGTGCAAAGGCGTAGTACAAAATTGCAGACAAGATTGAAGAGGACAGTACCATGGAGAACAGCACAATCACCACTTTCGTGAGGACTGGGATGCTCTGCGACCGAGCACTCATGCTAGGTCACCTGGTCCCCAAAACACGGTGGCAAAGTGCAGGGTCTCTTCGAGGACTTCCAATGCAGTGACCTCGGCCAGAACGTCAGGAAGTGCACAACGGCATGTCCCACCAACACAATGGCAACGACGCCACGGAAAATGACGAAAGCTGTGGCGCTCATCCACGGAGATGTTGCGAAAGGTTTTGGCCAGTCGCCTGGCTCCCGTGGCAAGACATCCAAAGCGAGGACCATTGCGAGCCAAAGCGCACTGCAAAAAAAAGTTGTCGTTTGGTCCACGGGTGATCAGCAGAAAACCTAGCTCGTACCTAGCTGCACCTAGCTGAGGCCGGAACTCTCCAACTTAGCCGTCTTGCTGCACTGCACGTAGCTGTGATTTGAAGACTGGGACATATTCTAGGGAGCCTCATCAAACCTTTCCCCATGCTGGCTAGAACTGCTGTTGGAGCAAAACGGGATGCACAGAATCACGCAAATCTAGCTGAAAAGTCAAGCCGATACGTCTGGTAAGATTCGGGCCCCTCCATTGCTGGAAACGAAGAATCACACGCCTTCCTTCAGCCGCACGGGTAAAGTTTACTCCGGTTGACCATAACCCAGGAACAGTCTGTGCACTGCGCTCGAATGCCAACTTGGCAGGGAGGGCCGAAATCTCTCAGTTCTTCGGGCTCTGCTGTCGGGGGGTGGAGCTCGCTGCAGGGCTTCACGATGTCGGATCCATGGATATATGATGGTAGAGCCAGGGTTTTCGTTCAAGTGCTCACGGTAGTCCTTGCAGTGCTGTCGTGCTTGATTCTCAAATCGCAGAAGGCGTCGCCGGCTGTCAGTGTGCAAACGTTCATGAACTTGAAGAGTTCGTCCTCGGACGCCTACTGGCAGCTGAAGGCTTAAAGATTCTTAAGGCGGAGGACTTCTGGATCTCCACATGTGCAGCAGACACTCACGCACGGTAACCGAAGGCAAAACAAGCAAAGAAAGAGTTGCCGATTTTGCAACGCCTCCGGATTCAGGGTCTCTGCCATTCCACTGGGCAACGTTGCTGCCTCCCGCGTGGCACACGCTCCGTCTGATCAGTGATGAAGGCACTGTTCGACGAAGCTCCTGTCACGATTGCGAAGGCTTTATGACCTTAAGCACCACAGAATGCCTCCGAACGGTGGAACAGTGCGCACCAAACGCACTGTTGCTCCAACAGTGCACTACGCCTGCTCGAAATGCAGTTCTGTCGGAAAGCCTTGCAGGCAGGTTTCGGGGATAGACCGGAAGCCATGCATCAGCACTATGCATCAGCAAAGAAACAGCAAGCACCATCAAGCTAAAACCACAAGCAATCTGAAGACTGGTATGCACGGGTACACTTAACAGCATGTAACCTTTGAACACAGACATAGCGACAAGCTCTGCTGACTTCCACCCTCGGAAACTTAGTGTCGAACCATGAATATAACACACGTGCCTGGCACCATGCTCTAGTCTGATGTGATTTACGTAGCTGCCAATTGTGGCACATGCAGCGAAATCTCTGATTGGCCCGCTGCGTGTCCTGTTGATGCGGGACGGGTCCTTGCCAAATCTCAGAAACATTGAACCCAAGTCGGTCATTCCAAAACGTGTACACAAAGTAACTCGCGCATGCAGCTCGCAGCGAAGATGAAAACTGATGGTGCCCCTGAGCGCCGAACCTTGCTCACTGGCTACCCGACCGAGATTAAATTCCAGATGTTGCGTAATGATGAAGTCCGACCGGGTACCTAGCATCGTGAAGACGCGAGATATGAATGTCCACTCTAGCCATCCGACCAATCGTGAAAGCTGTTTTGCACGACAGAGCCTGCAGACATGCCGAGGCCACCGCAACCTCTGACGGTACATTGCTCTGGTCAAGTGCGTGTGGACTCCGATTTTGAATGGTATCTTGGCCGAGGGTTGGCTGCCCTTGTTCGGAAGACATTGCTTTGCAGCTTATGGCACGAAGGGTTCAACTCATGTACACTCGCGCCACCAAACCACAATCCTTGAGCTGAAGACTCCAGTTCGGCGAGCATGCTCCGTTCAAGCCTCACACCGAAAACCAGTGCTGACGAAACGGCTCTGGGCAGCCAAAGCCGGAGTGGTCTGTTTGATGCTAGGCTAGGCTCCGTTCGAAAAGCACATCGGTCTGGCCGGCACGGCCGAGCTCTTGCCACAGGTGGACAAAGCTTGCGTTGAATTTGTTGGACGTCTATGTGGTGTCCACTAAACACATGGGTATCGGCCACTGTGCGGTGGGCTTTGGCTGAAGTGAAGGCGAGTACAATGGAGTCGAGTACAATGGAGTTGGCCCTCGGAGTCGATACATGGAACTGAAGGCCCACAGCACGAACTATTCTGACCTAACCCAGAAGTTGCACGAATTCTGTCAAAGGAGTTGTCAAAGGCATGCTGGTGTTGGGGAGCAGCGTCGTCGCCGGGTCAGCTCTTGTAGCCCGGACGTGCACAGCTTGCCCATTAAGCGGATGCGTGCACCCGGGCCTAGCCGGGTACGCACAGGGAAAGGAATTTGTGATCCTAAGTTGGGGATACCGTACTTGGCTTCGACGATGGCTTGAAATCCCAGCCTTCCTTTCCCTTGGGACTCTCCACGAAAGGCCTTCGCATGCTATTACTTGGCATCTAGGATGCCAAAGAATTTCCAAGACTGGGGCCCCGTGGAGACTTCGCAAAAAGTGCTAGGCATTCATAGGCTTCCAGCAGCCAGCTTGGCAAAGTTGCCATCGCGGTCGATGAGCTCATCGTAAGTGCCCGATTCGACGAGCCGGCCGTTGGATATCACAAAAATTCTGTCTGAAGTCCGAATCGTTGAAAGTCGATGTGCCACTGTGATGGTGGTCCTGCCCAACCTTGCCTCCTGCATGGCCCTTTGTACGACCTGCTCAGAGACGGAGTCCAAAGCCGAGGTCGCCTCGTCCAGGAGCATGACCTCGGGCTTCCGGATCAAGGCCCTCGCCAAAGCACAGCGCTGCTTTTGTCCTCCGGACAGCTTTTCACCACGAAGGCCCATGCGATCACTCCACTTCACTGCGCCAGAAAGGACGTAGTCCATGTGCGCCGCCTCCGCTGCTTTGAGTAATTCCGCAGCTGTGGCCTCGGGGTAGCCATATTTGACGTTCTCTTCCAGGGACAAATCGAAGAGCACGGGATCCTGGCTAACCATGCCGACCTGGCGACGCCACCAAGCCACGTTTAGCTCCTGCAGGAGACTTTATGTTTCTCTGTGCTGCTGCGGGCTGGGGATGGGGGTTGCTTTTGGAGGCTTCGCGAAGGGCCCTCCCTCAGGTCCTTCAGCTCAGTGCCCCCGATGCGAATGGAGCCGCTCTGGGGATCATAGAAGCGCTGCAAAAGTTGAATGATCGTGGACTTACCGCTTCCCGAGGAGCCCACGAAGGCAACAGACTGGCCCTTCGTAATGGTGAAGCTGATATTCTTCAGTACCCGGACCTCTCACGGGAGGTGCTTTACTGCGTGCCTTATCTCTCGAATCCTGCCGCCTTCAGAATTGAGTGGTGATCTATGGCGCATGCAGGTTCCGAACTGTTGTCCTAAGTTCCTGCACATGTCTGCGGAGTTCGCTGCCAAGACAGGGGCCGTTACCCGTCTGCGAACTCAGACCCTCCCGATAACCCAAAGCCTGGGATGAATGGTCTTGGACTCTACACAAAACCCACTGAAACCAGCGACAATCAGATGCTCAGGCAGACAGCGAACCTCGGCGCGGTGCGGATACCAGAAGCGCACATCCTTGAACTCAATGGACCCATCCCCAAAGTCTTCGATACGTCCTGTGGGTTGTGTGGCATCGATCTTGGAGACTTGATCGACAAGACGGAAAACCTCCATAGCTGCAATTCGGCCAGATGCAGCATCTGGAATGTGCTGCACAATCGAGGTGATCGACTTCACGCCAAACACTACACAAAAAAGCGACATCAGCACTTGGCCCGCATCGAAGCCCCAGTTCTGAATGCAAACAGCACTCATCGAAAAGCCTGCCAGGAAGATCAGCTGCACGAGAGCCAAGTTCAGGCCCAGGGACAGACCCAGCCTCCAAGACTTCGCTTTGTTAAGTTCTGTCAGCCTGTTCAGGGACTCGTCTATGACTTCCATGATGTGTTCTTCTGCTCCCATCGCTTTCACAGTGCGAATCGAGGTCACGGCCTCTGACGTGGCTTTGCCAGCCTTGCCGTAGGCCTCCATCCGCTCAGGATCTGCTCGGGCGACGCAGGCAGCCACTGTGAGGGCCAGGAGGCCGCAAAGCGGCATCAGGCCGAAGAGGAGCAAGGACAGCTCCCAGCAGCCGAAGAAGCTGAACCCAATGCTGAGGATACACGTGAAGAGTGCTGCAGCTGAATTTCCAAGCTGCATGCCCAGCATCTGTCCCACTCGATTCATGTGCATCTGCAAGGACACCAAGATGCTCCCTGTCTGGTTCTCTGGGGCATCGAAGAAGGACATGTCCATGCAGACGGTCCTGGCAAAGGCTGCCTTGCGCAAGATCATGCACAAGCTTTCCTGCTTGTACGCAAACAGGTAGCTCTGTGCGAACACCGCGATTCCCGAGCACAAACCGACGATTGAAAGACCAAGAACGGCAGTGTCCAACTTCTCATACATTGCCTCGAAGTCGCCCAGGGCGGCTTCAGACAGGGACACGACCGCCGCGTTGAAGAAGACAGCTTCCAGCGGCATGCTCGCTGCTCCGGCCAGGATCATGACGACACTCACTGGCCAGATCCACCAGTAGCGACCTACAGTAAATTCGCAAAGTTTCCTCATGGCAGACAGAACCGTACCTCCACAAACCAACGAAGAAAACTGCTGAGCTCAGGCCACAGGAGCCCATCAGGCGAAGAAGGCGGCAACAAACTGCGGGACTGCCTACATCTTCTGCAGCGTCTGCATAGATCGTCTTCTGCACTTCGAGGCCGAGGCCGAGGCTGCTGGCAAAGGATGCTACGGTGAC